ACTGGAGAGAAGCCATACCAGTGCAAAACATGTGACAAGTGGTTTACACAAAAGGGAAATCTACCAAGACATGAAAGATCCCACACTGCAGAGGAACCATACCAATGCAAATCTTATGATAAGTGTTGTACCCAATGAGTCCATGAAAGATCCTATACTGAAGAGAAGCCACCGGTGCAAATTGTGTGAGAAGTGTTTGTCAAAGAGAGGACACCAACAAAAGCATGACAGAATCCACACTACACAGACGCCATACCAGTGTAAAGTATGATTAAACATTTACTTGCTGAATTTGCCAGGAGGAACAGAGCAGTGCTTCCCAGTTCCTTAGCCACTATGATGAACACATGAAGTTTCCTTGATTTTTTTGTTGATCAGCTTATCTGATTTACCTTTGGCGTATTCAAGCATAAGTGGTTTACCTTTTCATTACATTAAACTTTTTACCCATCATACCGATCACTATAGTATATTCAACAAGATATACAATAATGTCCACAGGCACATATCTACAGGAGCTTCCATATTCCATATGAACCCTCGGAGACATCCTTTGCCCGTATTTTTTCTTCTTTAATTTTAGAATCTAAAGAGAGGCCGCAGTGTGCTGGCCAATCCGAGCAAAGGTAACTGTTGTATAATGACGCTTTGTCACGCGAGAACAGAGTATTTCGAGGGAATTTTGAAAACTAAGACGGTTCTTGATGCGAGCAAAGCTTGACGTAAGTGTATGATGCGTAAGAAGGCTACTGGTCTAACTGCTCAGTCTTGTTCCCAGTGCCCTTTCTTCTCTTTTCAAATGACCAACAAAGCCTGGGAACGAGGTGGCATTTACACGATGGCGTCAGTTGAGTGAGTCGATTTTGCTGTCGACTTTGGTAACATTATCTTGAAGCAACTCACTTTGGAAAACATATGACCTTGTAAGATATGAGTAAAATGTTAAATTTAGCTTATTGCCCACAATGCAGTAGTGGTTAGGTATGTACCTTAAAAATTAAACGTTTTGGTGTGAAGTATCACTCAGTATTATTACGATTTGTGCGAAAAACACTCCTAAAATCACACAGTGGTATTACCCACCAAAAGCGTCTAATGTCGAATAAACTATTTATTTTCCAACAGCCAAATTTTATGGCTGTGTCTAAAGGTGGGACGGGAACGTGGAACCTGGGACGTGGGACCTGGGACCTGGGACGTGAGACCTGGGAAGTGGGAGCTGGGTCGTGGGAGTCTCCGAGTCCCACGTCTCCGAGTCCTACGTCTCCGAGTCCCACGTCTTCGAGTCACACGTCCCAGTCCCCTCGTCCCCGTCCCACTTTTAGTCACAGCCTGTTGCGAGTTGACCTTGAAAACACTGTCTCGAAGCAGATCACTGTGAAAAACGTATAAACTTCGAAGGTAAGAGTATAAATATTAGATTTAGCTTTTTACTGCAAAATGGCAGTAACGGTTGAGTTTGTATCTTATTAGACGTTTTGGTGTGAAGTATCACTGAGTAAATTTTTGCGAGTTCCTACGCTTATCTCATGTTCTCCCAACCTCCCGCGTGTTTACATCAGACTATGTAAACACGGAAACCATTTTACATTTCTTTTATAAAATAACTAATGATAGAGGAACGAAAACCGTGTTTACATACGCTCATGTAAAATGAATTATTTTATAATAAATAATTAATCATAACCATGACAATTTCCTCAAACATGATTGGTGCATTAGCTGCTTTATTTTTCCCTAATCATTCTGTAGAGCTGTAATTAAACAGTATAATCGGACAGTTGGCTGTAATCGGACAGTTGGCTGTAATCAGACAGTTGGCTGTAATCGGACACCTGTTATTGCACAGTTGAAGAAGCCAATCATTCTAAGTCCACTCGGCCTAATCAATCAATCACAGAATTAATCACAATAAGCATAGCAACAGCCACTTATCCAAGAAAAAATTGAGGAATTTCCAAAATGGAGAAATTTTTTTACTGTAGATGTTGTCTCTACCAGAGATATTTGACCTGAATGTATTTGTTGTTTTTGGAAATTGCAATGGTTATGATTAATTGGTAACAGGACTTCTTGTTGTCCAATTCTGTCTGTAATCAGTACTCATGATTAACAAATTGGACTCCTGCTTAGCGGTCGTCAATTTTGTCAATCACTCGTATGATTGCAGACCCAATTGGACTCCACTTGGTCCTATTACCATTATTTATTTACTAGGTGTAATCACTGATGATGAAATGTGTTCATGGGGACGAAATTTGGGTTCTGGAGTACTCTGACTGGTGAACATGCCAGGAAGAGGATGGATTTATGAGAAATAAGCCATACTAGTAGTCTGGGGAAAAATGGAAAATGATAGTGTCCCAAACAGCTCACTTAAAAGTCTGGTGTGATTGTCCATGTCTGCCATTTTTTCAGGAGGGGCCCAAGCTCCTTATGCAGTCAATTAAAGATACATACCCAATAATTAATATAGAGCCTTTATCCATTGACACCTGAGTGTATTGCGTGCTTATGCAAAAGTTAAAATTTTGGAGAAACCAGAAAGGTGCAGGAAAGCAAACACAATGTGCAGTGAATTTTTATAAACCATCTTTCCCAAAAAACAAGCTCCAGTGAAAGAAGACTATTTAAATAGCTTATTTTCAACAAAAAAACGATTAGATAAATCTTTTTGCATATGTGCAAGCTGGTATTTAAATGTTTCTACGAAACTCAGACTTGCCTAGACTACTATGAAAATATTGGATTTACAGACTATGGTCCGCAGACTATTATAACAACCTGGATGTAGTCATAGGTTGAATTTCATCAGCAGCTGAGTTATGAAATAACTTGAGAGCCTCTACCCTAATAAACCTCCATGGAGTCTTAGAGTTGACCCTTTAACTCCCAGATCAAATTTGTAACTCTCCTTACTGTCAATCATACACTTCTTATAGTGTTAGTTTAGAGAATTTAGTATTGGATCAACTAATTATCCCCAAATTTATATATTTCTTTATTCTCATCACTTAGCTGGTTGATATTGTATTTGATATTGTAAGCAGAAATTCTGTCTTGGTCAATCATGGGAGTATAAGTATTTTATGTTGACTCAGCAATGAATATGTGTCATATGGAATTTACAGAAAGTACATGTTGTGTTGACCCTTTAATTCCCATGAGTGACCAAGACAGAATTTCTCCTACAACATCAACACAGAATCAAGCTGACTATTGGGGAGAATAAAGATGAAAACTCAATCAGGGGACTACAAGTTGATCCAATACCAAATTCTTCCAATTGAAATCATAAGTGCTTTAAGGCAGACAGTAGGGAGAATTACTAATGAGATCTTGGGAGTTAAAGGGTTAATCAAAATCAAAATAGTTAGTTTTTGGTTTTGTGATCCTGTGATCCTGTGTAAGAACTTGAAATAGAGTTGTCTTTTGTTGATTCATACAAACCAGGTTATAGAGAATATTTTTTCCATTCCTCAAAATAGATTGGACAAGTGGTTTTCCTCTTTTTGTTACCACATGGTTCAATGGTGTTGCTATTCTTAACCCTTTAACTCCTGTGAGTGACCAAGACAGAATTTCTCCTTACTATATCTATACAATATCATGCAGACAAGTGATGAGAATAAAGAAAAATATCAATTATGGGGTTACTAATTGATCTGATAGCTAATTCTCCAAGCTAACATAATGAAAATTGTATGGCAGACAGTAAGGAGAATTACTGATGAGAACTTGGGAGTTAAAGGATTAAGAATTTTTTAGAAATGCTTGCAGTGCATGGTGGTCAAATTCATTAGGGTACCAGGAACCTTGGTTGTGTTCAGTGGCTCAGGTTCAGGAGTTTCAGTCATCTGAGCTTTCTCTCTTCAAATTGGATGGAATTGCTGCTATCAGTTGAAAATACTGAAGAAAGTTTGTTTTGATTTATTCTAAATTTACTTTGCCATTTGCCAACTGTTAAAATGTTTTCATGTTCATTTAAGGTACAGTTTATCTTAAATGAGGAAGACTTTTTGATAAAACCGATGCTTCCAAATAACATGTTGTTTCCAATAGTTGTCAAATAAAGTGGTGATGCTTGCAGTTGAGCTGCAAAGGTTTAGAGTAACCTTATTTTGGTAAATCCTACATAACTTCTTTTGAGATGGCTGTCCCTTTGTCACCTGGTGCCATATGTGAAAGTTTCCTCTAAAGAAATGTAGACAAATAGACATAATTTGAGCTATGATATCAGTTTCTATGATTATTATGTTGGGAAAATGTATTTTAACCCTTCAACTCCCATGAGTGACCAAGACAGAATTTCTCCATACAATATCAATATAATATCAACCAGGTAAGTGATGAGAATAAATAAATATATCAATTTGGAGTTAATTGGTTGATGCACTACTAAATTCTCTGAACTAGCTTTATAAGAATTGTATGATTAACAGTAAGGAGAATTAAAAATTTGATCTGGGAGGTAAAGGGTTAAAGAATGTGCTTTGAGAATAGTGAGGATTTGTCTTCTCAAATGGAAGAACAGGCAAAATTATACAGTTGGAATACTGTATCTCCATGTTCCATTGATGAGATGTAACACATAATTGTAGAAAAAGGGCTAACCTCTACTAGGCAAAAAGCTGTTTATTAATACAAATTTTTTTTAGTATCACCAACACAATGTAAGTGCGCAAGGCTGTGTCAAAGGACTTGTTCTTGATGCACTTTTCTTTGTAGGGGCCAACTTAAATAAGGGTTTTGCCCTTTTGGGCACTGGCCAGCAATTATACGTCTGTGACTACCTTTGTTCATGGCAATTGATATAATAAAAGTTTCTGTCCCATAAAAGTATTGAAGTAAATTTAGCACAACATGCTGCCCAATTTTTCTGCCTATTCAAACTTTATCCACTCCTATTTCATTTCAAAGGCAAAACCTTGTAAAATTTGCCCCTTTGGTTGAATAAATGTTTTTTTTTTCTTTTCCTTTAGCATTGTAGGTACCTTTTGCTGTCAATGAGTGTTTTCCAGTTGATGCTTACATTGCAGATACACAAAATAATTGGTCCATTACTGACAAGGTACACAGAAAGTGGAAAGACATGTACAACGAATCTACAAAACCTGAAGGTAACTGGTGTGTGGAAAAAGCATCTGAATGCAAAACATGTGACAAGTGTTTTACACAAAAGGAACATCCACAAGTACATGAAAGATGCCACACTGGAGAGAGACCATACCACTGCAAAACTTGTGACAAATGGTTGATTCAAAAAAGACATCTACAAGTCCATGAGAAAAACCACACTGTAGTGAAGCCATACCAGTGCAAATCTTGTGACAAGAGGTTTACTCAGAAAGGAAATCTAGAAGCACATGAGAGATTCCACACTGGAGAAAAGCCATACCAGTGCAAAACATGTGACAAGTGGTTTACACTAAAAGGAAATCTACGAGTACACGAAAGAACCCACTCTGGAGAGAAGCCATACCAGTGCAACTCTTGTGACAAGCGGTTTGCTCATAAAGGAAATCTAACAGTACATGAAAGAACCCACACAGGAGAGAAGCCATACCAGTGTAAAACATGTGATAAGTCGTTTAATCTAAGAAGAGATTTACGAGTCCATGAGAGATTCCACACTGGAGAGAAGCCACACCAGTGTAAAAATTGTGACAAGTGTTTTACTCGAAAAGAAATTCTAAAATTACATGAAAGATCACACACTGGAGTGAAGCCATACAAGTGTAAAACGTGTGACAGGCGTTTTGCTCGAAACGGAAATCTTCAAGTCCATGAAAGAACTCACACTGGAGAGAAGCCATACCAGTGCAAAACTTGTGACAAGTGGTTTACTCAAAAGAGAAACCTAAAGGTGCATGAAAGATCCCACACGGGAGAGAAGCCATACCAGTGCAAAACTTGTGACAAGTGGTTTTCACGAAAAGGAAATCTAACAGTACATGAAAGATCCCACACTGGAGAGAAGCCATTCCAGTGCAAAACATGTGACATGTGGTTTGCTCAAAAAAGAGACGTACAGGTGCATGAAAGATCCCACACTGGAGAGAAGCCATACCAGTGCAAAACTTGTGACAAGAGGTTTGCTCAAAAAGGAAATCTAACAGTACATGAAAGATCCCACACTGGAGAGAAGCCATTCCAGTGCAAAACATGTGACATGTGGTTTAGTCATAAAACAACTCTGAGAGTACATGAAAGATCCCACACTGGAGAGAAGCCATACCAGTGCAAAGCTTGTGACAAGTGGTTCACTCGAAAAGGAAACCTAAAAGTACATGAAAGATGCCACATTGGAGAGAAGCCATACCAGTGCAAAACATGTGACAAGTGGTTTACGCAAAAGGCAAGTCTACTGATACACAAAAGAACCCACGTAGGAGAGAAGCCAAATCAGTGTCAATCTCGTGACAAGTTGTGTACCAATAATACTGATACACAAACCCATGAAAGATCGCACACAGGAGAGAAGCCATACCAGTGCAAAACGTGTGAGAGGTGTTTTACTCGAAAGGGAAGTCTACGAAAACATGAAAGACTGCACTCTGAATAGCAACCACATTCTTCTGATTTCGATGAAACATTCACTCGCTGGATTTTCCAGGAGGAACTGAACAGTGCTTTCCAGCTCTTTGGCCACTATAATCACTATGATAAACACATGAAGTAGAACAGTTTACCGTGTTATACGCAAGTTGCCTCAAATCTGCTTGCCTAGCAGATTTGCTTTTGGCTGATTCTCTCACACACGTCGGTACGCATTTACGCAGTATTAAGTCAGATTTTTTCACTGTGTATTAGAGGTACATACTTTTTTTTTTTAAGATCTGCTGCCACTTAAATATTCTTTGTATCCCTGTAAAATTATCCCTGTCAATGCCCGCATTACCCCATTGATTTCCCGTCCTGTCCGGTGTCGGAGAAGGGGGAAGGGGGGGAATCGGATTATTTCAGTCGACTTGTGCGTGACTTCGTGGAAATATCTTAACTTGTAGAACGCGAATGTTTGTTGTTTTGGCAAATGTCATTGATTTACGCATGAAAAAATTTTAATGGAAATAGGTGACTAAGGCAAAGATGACCAAACAGAACATACAACGTTGTGTTTTTAACTTATGTTGTCCTGGGAAAGTTATGTTCAATTATCAAGTTAACTCGCAAATTGTTTACAAAAGGAATATTTTGTATTGTTTGTAGCAGGAAGGAAATAGGTGACTAAGGCAAAGATGACCAAGTAGAACACACCAGGTTGTGTTTTTAACTCGTGCTGTCCTGAGAAAGTTATGTTCAATTATCAAGGTAACTCGCAAATTGTTTACAAAAGGAATATTTTTTATTGTTTGTAGCAGTAAGAGGAACCGGTTATCATTTATCGCTTTTTTTTTTGGGGGGGGGGGAGGAATTTTTTTATACGCAGTTAATGTTGCTCTTAAGTTCAGATTTCGTTATGAACACACTATGACTCGATAGACAGCTGTGATTTTCTCTCCTTGTCACCTGTCGAATGGTAACAATGCTGATGAACTAACTCTTGTAAATCAAGGGGAACGGGGGGGGGAGGTCTGGAGGAATTTAGTTATGTTAAGAATGAATATACCTGACTCCCATCAAAAAGGCCCTATGAGTTTTTTATGACTTCCCCCTGCTACTTTGGCAGTTAATTGATAATTGTCAGGCAATTTTTTATAGTCCCTAGTTTATTCTCTATTTGGGATGACTGATCCCTTTCCATCCCCCCTGAAAACCATGTGATCTTCCCAACGAAAATCATCCGCAAACCCCGTCCCTTCCCCCAACGCGATAAGTAATGACTGGTACCCAAGAGAATGAGATAATAGTCGGACAGTATGAAAAGTAATCATCGAAAATGTGAATTTAATTAGAAAACCCGATGCAACCTTCCGTAGTTTTAACTTGATTTAACAAATTATCGTTATTGCATCGGCGTTCTGATTTTCGCTTTACAATATTATATTTCAATTTATTTTTATTTTTATGGCTAATGCATGCTATGGATGTAAGGCCACTACGTTATCGAGATGTAAAAGTGATTGTAACAATAAAATTTCGAACTTCCGAATTCGACCCGATTATTGTTTGTTTCAGAGTATCTTGATAGTTCGACATTCGCAATAGAAATTATTGGGCCCATGGGCTTCTGTTGGGGGCATTAGACATAAAATAAAGAATATTGCGCTTTGAAACAATTACTCGTTTTAAAATCATGCGTTTGTATAACTAGGGTTATTTACGTTATGTAGTTCTTTTTTCCTTTTCAAATCCCTATATCTACTAAGTCAGCTTAACAGCACCTCACGAGAGAAAAACTTGCCTGGGTTACTACATGAAGAGTTGTCATTTTGATGTTGGCACGTAGGCTTAATACCTTCTCCTATCCTCCCCTTCTACTTATGTAATGCCAAGATTTGTGCCGAAAATGCAGTTGTAAGTGCATGCTAAAAGTAGTACCCATAAGGACGGACGGTCGGTCGGTCGGTTGGTTTAAATGATACACCAAATAATACATGGTTGCTTTTAGATATGAAATTTCTCTTCTCGTGTTCAACTCGGAATCTCACTCGTCAGCTGTCGAGTTAAACACTCGAAGAGAAATTCCATATCTAACCGCGCCCATGAATTAATCTTTATTTCTCGGCTGCGAGGACCACTACAATTTTTATGGTGCTTCGCTGCGCGCGCTTTGCACGCGCTACGAGCTCCACAATGAGAAGGACTCTACAGAATAAGGATAACTTTTGTTCCCTAAACGTTAAATATTGTAAAACATTTGAAAAAAAGTTAAAAATTCTGAGCTACTGTCATTATCTTAAACATTGCGGTTTATTATGGCCTCAAGGGTTCACATTCATCCTCGGCTTAGGAAACAGGATGTGAGATCACATAATGAAAGCTACTTAGAAATGATAATAGGCAAATCCTTTTTCTCTCCAAGTCTTTTCCCATCTTTCAAAATGGTCAGATCCTTGATTAGTTCAAGCGTTTCTTCCACAAGTTTTTTGTCTGCTTTCTCACGAAAATGCGCGGTGTGTGTCTGGAAATCAAGGAGCTGACTTCTTTCTGTTGATTTCTCATCAAACACTTCGGTGACATCGATAGAATGTTTTCCGTGTATACCTCATGTTTCCAGCCATTATCACCAGCAGATCGACTTAAAAGTTCGAAGAAATCAACGAATTTGAAGAGCAATAATTCGCTTGTTCATCCAATGCGCTGTTAAGTAGACATGTGTCACAACAAGGCGAAAAACGTTGTTGTTCTGGATTTTGGTCATCGTGTGAACACTAAGAACAAAATGTAAATGGTCATGTTAATATTGCTCTTTGGAGTTCAACAAGTAACAGGAACTAGAAAATTGGTAAGAGCTATACGAAAGCTATATAAACTGTTTATATAAATTATTGCATGATTCCTCAATAAGTGGGTAATTCTCTTGTAATTGAATGGGTAACTTAAAATGAACTATTATTAAGATGTAAGAAATGTCAAGGCGATTTCCCACATAATCTGTTAATCTATATTTATCCACTTCATTAGTCATCCTTGGAGGGAAATCAATTAAGAACGGAACACTGTAGTTTGACAGCTGTTCTATAGCTCAGGTTTATACAAGAATTAACAATGCTATCATTTTGGGCAACTTTAAGAAACTTTATTGAAAAAAGCTGTCGTGGATTGTGTGCGACTGTGTCGAAACGTTTGCCTCAACGGGCGATTGTCTTAAATTGTTTGCCTCAAAGGGCGATTGTGTCGAACAGTTTGCTTCCTCAGGCAATTTAGTGACTTCAGTGACCTCAGTGGGCGATTGAACCTTCCAGCACGCTTGAATTGGCAGATAAATCAGGGAGAACGTCTCTGTATCTGGAATATTTTGACTTTCAAGTGCATTCAAGTACATCCTGTCTCCTTCGACTAAAGTTTTGTCAACTGTAGCAGTATCCCAGTGCCGCACTAGACACGATTGTGCACACAACAGCGCTGAAAAGTCATAGAAGAGGATTGTCTTCCCCTGGAAATGTCACTAAATCGTTCGTGACCTTTATGAATAGTTCCAGCGATTGATTGAATTGCATTTGACATGATTGCTCAGTTCAAAAAGAGCGATAAAAACTTACCCGCTGCTCTCGAGGGCTTGATGGCTGGAACAGCTTGAGTGTTGAACGCATATCATTATAGAAGTGAGGCCCCACACGGAAAGTCAAGAATAGTGCTGCTGCTCGCTAATGCTCAGAGCAATGAACGGATGTGGGCGGTTTGTAAAACAATAGGTTGAAAGGACTTTTGTCCCTCATAGGTGAAACTGCACAGTGCACAGCTTACGAGTTTTAATCGAAATACTAATCCCTTTTGCGCCGATTAGGTATAGAGTGGACATCAATGGAGACTTCATGTCTTTCACAACGCTACCGTGCGCGCTAAGCCTGAGAGAGTCAGTTTCGATTAAGCGAAATCGGAGCTTTTCAAAACTGCTGGCGTCGCGGCTCTTTAGTTTTATGATTAACCTTAATTGAGTGCATGTCTAATGTGTCGCCAATGTAGTTAAAGCCCGGCGCGACGATAAAAAATTAATCGGTTTCCTCAGTAGGGTAAAAAAAAGGTAAATTGGAAAATGTCAACTTCTTAAGTGACATGAAGGTGAGAAAACCTCAGACGAAAATTTTTTTGGCGGCGACTTCCTCTTCGCCGCTCTAATTGCTCCCCAAATTTTATCACAAGAAAAGCAATGATGAGTAGACACGAGTTCGTGATTCATAGATCTGTCAGCTTTGAAAAAAGTTAGCCTTTAAATCGACTCCTATCTAATTTGCGTCCGTCATATACTTCGTACGTAAGATGCCTCCGGAAAATAAGAGGAATAGAAGTATTTAAAGTATGGTGCATTAAAATAATACAATCAGGAGTTGCGTATCTCTACGGAACAGGAACAAGAGTTGACATTTTTCCAAAAATAATCGGTGCCGATTATGCAAGAGCCATCACATTCCTTGGCTGAATCCTCTGGAGAATCACC